GAATATGGCTCTCCATATATTCGCCTCACAAATCTGGATCTATTGGACTCGAGAGACAGAGTGAAAAGAGACAGAGAGGACGCCTGTCCTTGTGGCTCTGTTAATGGTTTTCTTATTCTCTCTATCTTCTCTTATAGATGCATATCAATACATATCGTGGCGTCTGCATAGAGCCTGCCACATCCAATATCGCCTGGACATTTTACATAATTATTATTTTCAGGAGTCATTGGGGTCTCATAGAAGGGAATGTAAGTGACAGGCGTTTAAAATGGTTTTTAAATCATGCGGGATAACCAGGGCCTTTCAGAAATAATTGTGTCAAACTGCTTTTCACCTTTTTCGCCAATCAATATGCACACGTATTCACAGGCGGACGACTATCCTTCAAAAGGCGCCGCTGCTCTTTAATATACATGCTTGCATTTTAATGGGCTACTTTAACAACAATACTGCAGACAACAATGTGTTTCTGTGTAATATTCCCGTAGAAATTGATGATACAGCCGCTTTCACGTAGCACAGGCTGCCTTCCTACGGGCCTATGGATAGAATGTACACACACAGACACACACACACACACACTCACAAATAGAAATGAGCATGAGGTAAGCACACAAACACACATACAGTTTGTTAAGAGGTGGCCTAAGACGATGTAATCACATTTACTTTGTTACGCCGCTCGTAAATGATTTAAAACTAGATTCCATGCATGCTTTCATACTAATTCACTCACTGGTATTTTTCATTTTGGCCGGAAAAACTTTGAGAACAATCACAAATGACTCCATTCTCCAATTAGGCCTCTAAACAGGACCGAGAGAGGGGGGATCTATTCATTTTCTTTTGATTACAATTATCGCCACTTGCAAGGAGCTTTGGGGTTTATATATTAAATAATGCATCATTTCATAATTATATAGAATATATAGATTTTTTAAATAGGATACTGGGCAAAATGGTGACTTTAATTAGATTGGTGTGTAAGATATCTCGGGGGTATGATAAAACAATGTTAAATATCTCACAATGACTGTAAAATATGTTCCGACAGATAATGAAACACAAATAGCGTGTCGCTTTGCCGTGGCTCCTATTTGTCGAAATATTCCCACATGCATTTTTCTGAAATTTCATAATTATATTGAAGATATGATCAGGGGCTGACGCAGCTAGGTGCTAAATATCATGCTGCCTGTCCCCCCCACCCATTTAGAGGCATACATTATCATCGTGTTAGTATCAGAGTAAATTACATGTGTCGACAGGGAAAGGAAACTACTGGTACTGTAGGAAATGCGCGCACACACAAACACATGAACACACACACATTGGACTGTTCACCAATACCAAATTGTAAAAATACTCTTGTTACAAGTGGAGGTCCTGCATTCCATACTGTAGTTTAGTAAACTTATAGGCATTCAAATACAATTCAAAGTAACAGTACTTATTGTGAGTTATGTCCCATTTTAGAATAAATTAATGGATTTATATTATTAATGTGTTCATCAAAGCTAGTAAACGCTTAAATTACTTATTACTTTTTATATACTGCCGCTGATGGATGTTTTAACCTGTAAATATATGTCAGTGTTTATTTATTAGTTGATTTATATTTTGTATGCTAATAATCCGAAATAATTTAGGCAGTCAGATAAATGTAGTAAAAAGTACAGTATTGGCTTCCAACATGAAGTATTAAGCAGCATAAAAGGAAAATACCTCCAAATTGTACTTTGGTACAGTACTCGAGTAAATGTACTTTCCACCACTGAGTACACGTGAGCTAATAAACAGGCCGAGAAGGTCACTGGCGGCGTAATATCCACACAAGGATGAGCTAAGGCCAGAGATTAGCAAAGAGCTAAAGAGCACTTGGCAGAGCGAGAGGCGCTTTTACAATTAAAGCAGAATTAAAGATGCACTAGAACAGCAACACTTTGCCAAGCAAACAATGCCTGCAGCCTCTTTCAAAATTACAGCGGGCTCATTTGAAATGAAGGACAAACAGTGGTTGTGTGTGTGTGCTTCCAGAAACCCTCTCCTATTATGATTGCAGGCCCCTCGTTTTGGTCTATATATAAAGTATGTAAATGTCGTCTGGCTGCGACAGTCAGAAGCGTCAATAGAAGTTGACAGCTGAATTATAACCGCAGCCGAATCCATCAGTCTTTTGTTTTAACCGGAGAATGAAGCGTTTTTAAAACTCAACAAAGGCCTTTTAATCAAATTCTCAAGGTTGTTGGCTTTAGCATTGTATTAGTTTAATAGTTTCTGCTGCACCATTGACGTTAATGACACATTCCTATGTAAATATAATGTGGCTCCCAGAAGCCATCAAAACATTTTAAGGTCCAATGAATACAGTTGCATTTCTATTTTTTTGCCTCCCCCTCCCTTTCTCTCCCCCCTCCTCATACAGAAATGTCTTTTTATTTAGCAATCTCCGCACAGTGCATGGTGATACAATAAAAAGGAGGGGAGATTGATTAATGGAGACTTTAAGGTAGTGATGCGCAGCACTGATACAAATAACTGTGGAGAGACAGAGGGGAGAGATTGTGCCTCACACACACAACCACACACACACACACCGACTTTTAAAGAATTCACTTATGGAACCACATGTCAGGAATCACAGCTGTGGGGGGGGGGGCACACACACACACACACAAATCTAAATCACATGTACAGTTTAAAGGCCTTTGGCATAGATTCATCACCCGCGATTGAAAGATAATGAAACTGCATATTTTCTCACCATTCAGAGGCTGATGAAAGCATTTAGAGTAATATAGCAGAATACATTAAAAGCAGTATCATATTTTGAGAAGCCTCATAACAAGTTAGTGTCTAAAGAAGAAAGAAATGTGGAGACATCTTGCCCCATATCTCCAGAATGTGTGATAGGGTGCCTTTTGTGTGTATGAATCGCTTAATCAAGTCTTTGGGGGATATACTGTATTTAAGTGGTTGTTGGTTATTTAAATAGGGAGAAGAAACATTCTGATACTTGAGAGCTGGCTTTGAGATCACACCACATTTGCAAATACGCTTGCATACACAAAAGCGAATCAGAGGCAGACAGAAAGAGATGTAATGGAGATTTTTCATGCTCGACGTGTACATAAGCTAAGAATCAGCGTTCAATCACTACATCGTGCTTTGTTTTCTGCGTTTTTCTTCATCCGTCCTTTAATAGCTTAACGCACTGAAATTAACATCCCAATGTCACATGTAATGGTCGACAACACACTTTCCAAAGAATCAGAAATGTGTTAGATAACAAATAATTGTCTTTATGTTGATATTTTTTTGTAAAAAATAAACAGCTGGTATATAAAATTGTATTCCTTAAAACATAGCTACATTTGATTTCATTTTGTTGACAGCATTTTCTGATTTAAAGGACTAATGTTTGGAGGTATTCAAAATCCTCTTGGGAAAAATCTTTGACTCTTAATTGTCAAGAATAAAAACAAAAATTCATGACCTGGGTTTTTTCAAATGGCTGTTCTGGGAATGTACGCATACTGCATATTTAATAACATAATGCCTCATTTTCAAATTCAAACATAATATTTCACAAAACGTATAACTAAAAAAGTGTTTTAATTGTAGGTATTAACTGGGGAGGTTTGATGGTGATATATTTGTACCCTATTCACTTGTTGTCTCCCTCCTTAAGTAAAAGTAAATCCGGTACTTGAGGGATATCTGTCGCCACTTTTTAATAGCGGGTAGCTGGCTCCTCCACATGAATTTGTTAATTTCTCTAAATAAAAAACATATAACAGTCTACTACTACGATGAAAGACTATATGTATTTTTCAGTTGTGTCAACAGAGTCATCCTCATCCTAACATAGACATTTACAAAAAGTGTGATGACTTCCATTTTAAATATGTATATTTAACAAAACAGATTTGCCAATGACATGAATGATCCTATTTCAAATGTCTCTAAACCCTGTTTAAAATGTGCCTCACATTTGAAATCATGTGTTTGGCTTTAGCAGATCACTGTTTTCTGATACTCACTGGCTCTATTGTCGCCCAACCAAATATTGCACAATAGTTTTTAATTGTTCGGCTTGTAAAAGCATTTTATATTATGTACAGATTATCATGATTACAATTTGTTCATAATCCATTTAGAAAAGAGCTTATAGTTCCTTATAATAGCATGTGAGCACCACTTGGAGAAAAGGGCTACCAAATAAAAGATCAAGTGCATTTGAGCATTCCCATTTCACACAGACTGTAACACACATTGCACAGATTTCTCATGCATCGTCTTCCTGAGCTATGGGCTGTAACATTTGCTTTCTTAGTCAAGGAGTACAATCTCATTTGCAGGGAAACAAATTAGAAAAAAAGATGTAGCTGTGACAATACCTCAAATTTGATCCTTCTTATTCTTCCCCTTTTCTGCCTTTTTAATTTACAATGCAAAGTGTAAAAATAAACATTGAGGGCTCAATTTAGTGTGGTTTTCAGCCGTGGCACCTAATCCCCCAACCCCACCCCTTGTCACGATGTGCTTGAGGTTGTAGATTTTCCCGGGGTGTGTATGTGTGTGTGGGGGGGTTCATTGAATGAGAGATAGGTGGGCAAAGAGGAGGGCCCTAAGGCCTCAGCAACACATACCGTACCCTAATCCCACACACACGCTTCAACAGAATTTTAAAGGTGCCCCGATGTGTTCATGAAAACACACACTGCCACACACCACCGTGGACAAACCGCGAAACAACTTAAAGCGCTAACAAAAGAAGAGTTTGTTCGTTTGACAAGGATTTCCACGGCGGGAACATTTTTTAAAAAGAACACAATAATAGGTGAGAGGGGGAGACGGTGTGCCCCTAAGAAACATGCAAGTATTTAACCCTGTGCTTTCTGTCAATCACTCTGCTAGACGTTCAGCGGGAGAGATTCTTTTCCCTTTGTGACCTTATGAAATGATTGCCCATCTGCATTTGTTCTGCTTTACAGAGGAAAGAGGAGACAGGGAAAAAGAATGTGTCACTTCAAAGTGTTAGCGCCTGCACATGTGTGATCACCCAGACAGACCCGTGTGATGACTGCCCCTTATACTCACATCACTTCTGTGACAAGCCTGTCCACACACCTGCCCAGTGGGAGGCTATCTACCTGACGAGGAAGACCCTGCGGCACTGGCGCGGCAGGAGGGACGGCGAGCTGATGAGATCAAGCGTCCCCGGCAGACGGACAGAGAGGAAGCGCGAGGAGAAGACGGGAGTGAAGTTATAGATAATCTTTTCGCTGTTGAGTAAACACACACTGTTTGTTGAGTCTGTCGCCAGGGCCGAGCCAAGCCGCGAATGACGGATGCAACAGCGTTAGCTAGCTGATTAAAGCCCTATCTTCTTCAAAGTAGGGGGGGATTTTCACTCTGACATTTAAAGAACAAACACAATGCTCAGTTGGGTGGCATATTTGCCCATTGTTCCTTTTAAAGATAAAACTTCTGCCCATGTGGAAGTTTAAATCTCCTCGGGTAGCTTGTATCTGACTGTTTTCTCTCTCAGTGTCGCTGTTTGTGTTTCTATATGGTACTTTATGACAGTACATGTCTGTGTGTGCCCATGTGTGTTCCTGCATATAAACCCTCATTCAGATAGACCTCGGTCCAACTTTGGCGGTGGCCCACGGCCACATGGAGTGGTCTGATAGAGCAGTGGAGTCTACGGGAGTCACACACACTGCTGTCGTATGGTGGGGCCTCTCTTATCGGAGCCGCCAGCACGGTAAGCTAGGATTAGCATCTAGATCTGTGAAGACTGGACGTCAGCACAGGGGACAATGGTGACAGAAGAGAGGAGGGCGCAGGATGAGAAGATGGAGATAGAGGGGGCGGATGGAAGGGGAGGGTAAGAGCATATAGACGGATGTCATACTCACCATTCACACTTCTGCCATCCCCCACTTACTAGTGTGAGCATTTTCTTTCCTTTTCCTGCCCTTTAAGCCATGTTGCTTTCCTTTTTCTTACTCTCGTGTTGTCCCTGTGGACAAAGTGCATGAGAGCAGCATGTGTTCATGCCTTCTTGGACTTTTTTGGTGGTCTAATGTGGAGGACACACTTCAAAACCACAGAAACATCACACTCATGGAGCAGGCTAAGTGGGCGCTGTTTTTGAAGTCTTTCTTTGAAATAAGCGAGGCAATCCCTTGGCCCAGGGATCATATTCTATTTACGTTCCCTTTGCCAACGACACAGGCGACGCTGGCCAAATTCACAAAAGAAGATCCACATTGGAAAATCCGGCTAATCCCTGATTGAAAGTTCATGTGTTGGCTTCGATGGATAAGCTCTGGCAGATTTTCCCAGGAAAGGGGAGTAACGAAAAAAATAAAAGGCAACAAAACTGGGATCCTTTTTAGTTAAAAAGTGGACTCAGTGTCAGTGGCAGGCAAGCAAAGCTCATGTCCGCTTGTCAAGAACTGCCTTTCATGCTCAAGGCCGCAGTGGGTTGTCTCTTCTGGCCCTGATGGAGAGGTTATGTTGTCGTCTTAAGAAGGCGTTGGGGTTAGTTGGTCGTTCCAAAGGTTGCCCTCATACATCGGCCAGGACTGATGCTACCTTAGATTATTACGTTTTCTTTGTCCATCTACTGCTTCCAGCATCCACTCCTTCATCTCTCATGTTCCCAGTCTGTCTCTCCATCTCTCCCTCCCTCCTTCCCTGGCTGCCTCTCTCCTCTCTCTCTTCCAGGGGTGGTGGCTATGGCTAGAGAGCCTGCACAGATGGCAGGCCAGCTTGCCTTCAGGGGAAGGGCTCCACAGCTTAAACTCCCTCCATTTTTCCTCTTTACTTCTTCAGCACAAACTTTTGGCCTGCAACTTCTCACGTCTAGCGAAGCCTTTATCTCGCCGTGCATGATGTGAGGGGGGAGGCAGGGTCCTCCAAGGGGGATGGGGGTGAGGTGGGGGCGAGCATGAGCTGTCCTTGGATCAATAGGGGCCGTCAGTATCAGTGGAAACCTAACACAGAGGCCAGTGGAGTGCGGTGGAGGCTCCGCGGGGCCATTGACTAGCCGATAATATGACACTTGAAATTGTCACGATTCAAACGTAAATACCATCATTCCACGGAAAGCAGCATCTTTCACTTTGGGTCGACTTGATTGATAAATCGTACAGGCGCTAGTTTGCTCAGATTCTCACATCCAGTGATTTTCCCTCTCAGGCTTCACTTAGTCAGACAATAGGCGCATTAACAAGCACAAGTATTATCACAAGTCAGAGTTTCCTACTTTTTGTTCCTCTAGATCAGGGGTTTTCAAAGTGTGGGAAGGTGAGCCTCCCCTCAGAGTACAGCCCCCCTCCCAATTATTATTGCTTTTATTATTATTATTATTATTATTATTATTATTGTTGTTACTATGATGCAGGGGTATTATTATCCAGTGGAATGCCCTTACCTACTGGCCTAGTTAAATCAAAGTGGTTACTTTATTTTGGCTGGGCAGTGTAGTCTTATTTGACTTTCTCAGGACTTAAAACTGTTTTTTGGGGGCAGACCCCCACAAAGAAAAATATATATTTACACACGTAAGGTCATCATCTTAACAGTTTTTTATGCTCATCGAGTCATCCCTGAACAGAGCATCAAGTTGGCATGCCTATAACAGCTGAATGCGGCGATTATCTTGTTCAGCAAAACGCCTCACAAACTTATCAAGATCCAAAGCTTTAGTGCGTTTTGATTTAATGCTGAGTACAGCCAAACTTGACAGTCTCTTCTCTGTCATTGTAGACCGTAAATACCTTATTCCTTCCGTCTACTTGAGTCCGAATGCTTCTCTTTCTGCGCCGTCCCGTTCAAATGAAATCGCCGCCAATCACATTTCTACGCTCGCGCCAGGGCGAGGGGAGGGGCTACAAGACTCGCGTCTTGTGCTGCATTCACTTGCACTCGGACATTAGGAATTTTCTCTCATAAATGTGCGATGAGCCACAACTTTTATTTCAAAACAAAGCTGCCAACTGGGGTGGCAACTGGGGTGGCAGCTGGGGTGGCAAGGCTAATTTTAGGGTGGCAGTTGCCACTCCATGCCACCCCGGTAGATCCGCCCCTGCTTGACCGGTACTTGCTTTTGATCAAAGTCAATGCGGAAAACCCGCACTCACTCAGGTAGGCGGAGGTGAAGGGAATGAGCACTTTTACAGCCGTTTTGGCGAGGTGGGGGAACTCGGTCTCCACAGACAGCCAAAAGTGTGCAAGTGACGTTTTCTGCCAGATGCTGTCTCCTCTCTTACTTTAGGTAACTTCACAAAAAATCGACTAAAAAGTTGCCACTCGCATAAAGTTAGCTGTAGTTAACTAGCTGAAATTCTCGTTATTTTTTTCTCACGCTGCGCCTCCCCTGAAGCTCTCTGGCACCCCCCAGGAGAGGCGCGCCTCACACTTTGAAAACCGCTGCTCTAGATAAATGTCTTCCTGAGATAACCCTGTGATAATGGTAATATTACCTCTCGCTATCTCTCCACATGTATCACTTCACGCTCAAGTCAATGTGAACAATGTTCCTCTAATGGCCTGCTATACTTAAAGCCGTCACCAACGTAAGTGGTCTTGTTAGCGGTGGCCCCTCGCCTCTTCACGGTATCAGCCCAACAACTTGACCGGTGTCGAGTGTTCACCTGATAGCCAGCCATCCGTTTCAGGCCTCCTCATATTCAGCACGGAAGGAACTTCAGACAGTGTGCGGAAATCATTTTAATTTGATCCTAACTAAGATACTGTAACTCCTCTAATTGTATGTAAAATGACATTATGCATTGTACTAAAGCTTGGTTTCAGAGTGCAGTGGTTCCCTTAAGGACAGGCCAAGGGTGCCCAAAATGCATTACCAATTTGTATCATACACTACATTTACTTAAAAAAAATGTAATCATTTCTAAACATGTTTTCCATATAGAATCAGAGGGAATAAGTATGGTAACAATGAAATGATGATATTTTTCACTTCTATAACATGTTCAGACAAGTGCCAGGAAAACAACCCTAAATAATATTTTGTTTTTTATTATTACAACGTTGTCTATTTGCTTCTGTAGGTTTTTCCAAAATTCACAAATTTAGAATAAGTTGAATGGAGATTCAGAAGATATATATTCCAAATTGTTTTAATTTAGTTATTCAACTGGGGAAGTTTCACATTCATATTTTTATTATAAATATTCTTTTACTCATTTGACTTTTTCTCCCTTCTCATTCTGTGTCAGAAATCTCCACTTCAGTAGCATTCAAATACACCCAACTTTCCAATTTCATTTCTATCTGTATTCGGAATTTGATGTATCATTTATCGCCAGATTTTGAAAGGTTTTATTAAAAAATATGTGGAAATTAGCTTTTTTAAATGTTTTATTGTCTGTTGACAGCATCTTCTAATGTATGGAGTGTGCCTAAGGATTTTGACCCAACCCTGAGGTGATCCACCTTACTAAATGATGATAATGGCCTACTGAGCCTACGTGGAGGCAGGGTGGGGGCCATTTTAGGTTTGTGCATATAGAGAGTAAAAAAAAGTGGCCGTCTAGTATTCAAGAAAAGACAATCTGAAAGGGAGTTTTACCCTTGATTTAATATGGTGCACAAAGGACCCCCTATTCATTTGAAAGGGATTTCATTCAAATTTCAAAAAAAGTAAAACATATTCTCATTTGTATTTAATTTGGTTCGGTTTTATATCCATATATAATGTTGCCCCTTTCTCATACCTCCTGTGCTCTGAATGTCTTGCTCTTTTCACCCGTGGTATTCTTTTTTTCTATAAAAGGTATTATAAAGGTTTTCTATTTCACATTTTTCTTCAGAGCTGCTTTGATCAATACAGTAGCTGTGTAGAAATGGATGTTTCAGGCTATTATCTGAGAATAAAGCCCTGAAAAAGAAACCATCATATAAGAAGATTTGGTTTCAGCCGTCCTGTTTTTGCACGAGAACATCTTAGGCCTAATAATAATAATAGTACTTTTAAGCAATTTTCATTAATCTAACTGTGCTAGTGTTGTCATTGTGCTGCAGATGAGGTTTTATGTGAGAATTAACATTCACCTTGACCTGTGACTCGCACTCTCAATTACGCATAAAATCTAATTATATAGAGAGATTATAACGTTTTTAAATATGATTGCAGCATTTAATACACTTTAAAAGTTGTACGTGCCGGTAGACTGGCTGTTTTTTTTTTTTTAACAACGTTCCTAATTAAAGCTTAGAGAGGATTTGTCATCAGTGT